AAGAATTAAAGAAAGACATAAGCCTATTACTCCACAGCTCAGGCCCACCAGCTGCTTTGCTGGGGTTTGGACCTGCCTCATTCTGTCTCCAGGTGTAGATCTGTGGAGTGGAAGGAGCACTTGTGTGCGTGTGCGTGGGGGAGGACAATAGGGGAAAGTGAACATTAGCTGTTTTTTGTTTTGTTTGTTTTTACACATATGAGCTTGTTTTGGTCATCTCATTTTCCCCCCTTGACTTTGCAATTGCTTGGTTGTTCCAGAACCAAAGTGGCCTTCCATCACTTCCTTCCCTCGTCTCTTCTTCCGACTCCCTGACCTGAAATTGAAATCTGTCCAGTTCACCATGTATCACTCATCTTCTAGGGCACTAGAGAGCACAAAGGTCATCTATTCGAGTGATGGACATTTATGGAGAAGGGAAAGCTAATGGGCCTGACCTGAGATTTCATCCCCACACATCCCATGTACATCAAAAGACCACGCCTTACCTCACAAGCATGCTCAATTATTATGTCAAAGAGAGGGAGCTCTGGAGAGATGGCTCAGTTCATAAGATTACCACTTGTTTCTGCTCAAACATCATCATCGACCTATTAAACTTTCACTCTTTTTTTTTCTTCCTCAAGACACAGTTTCTTCGTGTAGCCCTGGCTGTCCTAGAATTCACTCTGTACACCAAGCTGGCCTTGAACTCACAGAGATCCACCTGTCTCTGCCTCACCAGTGCTGGGACTAAAGGTGCACATCACCACCACCAGGTGCTTTTGCTCTTCTTAAACCAGAGTCACTTTTTGCTCTTACCTTCGTCTCTTCATCTTGCTGTAAAGAGACACCATGAACAAGACAACGATTTCAGGGGCCATGCTTACAGTTTTAGAGGGTTCCTCCATTATCATCACGGGGAAGAGTGTTTGTCAGGAGGCCAGGCAAAGTGCTGGAGAAATAGTTGAGAGCTACATCCTGATCAGATAGCAGAGAAAGAGAGGAAGAGGGAGACATGGAGGGAGGGAGGGAGGGAGGGAGGGAGGGAGGGAGGGAGGGAGGGAGGGAGGGAGGGAGGGAGGGAGGAGAGAGAGAGAGAGAGAGAGAGAGAGAGAGAGAGAGAGAGAGAGAGAGAGAGAGACCTGTAGAGGGATTTTTCTTTGGGCCAGCAGGTCACACACACACACAATGACACAGAGACTTATCATTGATAATGAAAGCTCGACTAGTAAGGCTTGTCCCTTATTCTTATAACTTAAATTAACCCATAGTTTTTAGTATATGTTCTGACTCATTACCTCATCCCTGAGCTCTGGCCATCCTGCTCCTTTAGCACCTGGCTGGTGACTCCACCTTCTTTTTCCCAGCATTCTCTCTGCCTGGCAGTCACTCTGCCTGTCTCTCCTGCCTAACTATTGGCTGTTCATCTTTTCATTACACCAGTCACAGTGACACATCTTCAAAGTGTACAGTTATCCCACAACAGAGACGGGGCCTGGTGTGCAGTTTTGAAATCTCAGTGTCCACTCTCACTGACACATCTCCTCCAAGAAGATGCCTTTTCTTTTAATGGTTCCCAAACAATTCCACTAATTGGTGACTAAGTGTTCAAATATATGAGCCTGTGGGGGCCATTCTTACTCAAACCACCGCACTGTTCTCCTCTGCAGCCCTCAAAGGCATATAGTCCCTTGATTTTGCTTATTCAGTGTCTTCTCCCAGTAAAATGTGGCTCCCAGAGACATGCATCCTTCGCTTGCTCAGTGCTGTGTCTCTAGTGTGCTGGCGCAGCGAGTACAAAGTATTTTTTCAGTGATTAAGTTAACTGGTTGCTCCTATTGCCTGCGGACAAGGAATCACAGCCACAAAACTGCTGCAGACTCTCCACAGCCTCCTTGAAGTGTAGTTTTCTGGAAATGGTTGTGTTTTATCTCAGAACATTAAAGAGTTTTAAAGCATATCCCACAAGGCAGTTTTTAGATAGAAAAGTCATCGTAGAAAAAACTTAGCGTTCCTCAATGATGCTTGAAGTCTATCATTCATTTATGGAAGAATGCTTTTTATTATGCATTCCTAATGGTATTTATTCACTCATAAGAGAAACAGTTGTTGAGGTCTGTGAAGTGCAAACACTTCTGAGGAGCACTGGGGATCCCCTCTTCTGTCATTTTATAACCTTCTGGGTTGTCTGTTGTTGTGGGATGCTATTTTAATAAGAGAAAGATGTGTCCTATTTGTTTATGCTGCAGAACATTAACTGTGTGAAGGTGTGCTACTTTTATTTATGCTACATTTGTTTAACTATGGAAGGATGTCTATTCAATTATGAAAACATCTGTTTCACATTGCCTGCCTAAGGCACCTGATTGGTCTCATAAAGAGCTGAACAGCCAATAGCTAGTCAGGGGAGGGATAGGCAAGGCTGGCAGGCAGAGAGAATAAATAGGAGGAGAAATCTAGGCTTACAAAGAAGGGAAGAAGGAGAGAAAGAGGGAGGAGAGAATGAGAGAGAAGCCCAGGGCAAGAAGCCAGGTGTCTACCAGCCAGCAGACATAGAGAAGCAGTGAAAGTAAGATATACAGAAGAAAGGCAAAAAGCCCTGAGGCAAAAGGTAGATAAAGAGAAACAAGTTAGTTTAAGTTAAAAGAGCTAGCCAGAAACTTGCTTGAGCTAGGCTGAGCATTCAAGACTAATGAGAAGGCTCTGTCATGATTTGGGAACAAAGCTCAGCATTTAGGACGGTTGAAAACGCCTCTTCTAAATGCTGTTGTAATTGTTTTGTTAATATTAACCAACATTGTTTGAAGTATTGTAGCTTTCTACTGTTAACCCCTAAACTTGGTAGTAAAAAACAATATACTCTGTGGATGAGTAATTTGGGCAAGGCACTATGGGACTAAATTTGTATTGGAGTCTCAGCCGGGTGATTCAAATAGCTGGAAACAGCTGGGATAGCCTGTAGTTCTGGGATAGACTGTAGCTCTGGGATAGCTTTTAGTTCTGGGATAGCCTGTAGTTCTGGGGTAGCCTTTAGTTTTGGGGTAGGCTTTAGTTCTGGAAGAGGCTTTAGTTCTTACATGGGCTTTAGTTCCAGAAGTTTCCAGAGTCCCTTGATTCTCTAATTTACAGTTCCTCCAGTTCAACTGGCATGAGTGAAAGAATGTCTGGAAAACCCAGGCACCTCTCTGCATGCTGTTTCTTCATATGACTACTTCAAGTTTCCTCTACTGTGGTGGACATCAGGTAGCTGGTAGAGAACACATGCTCCAATTGGTTGGGCAAAAGGTGGATGGTTTCTTGTAATCTGATCTTGGAATTCACAGAATATCAATGTCAACACATGGGTATGTCAAGCAAGGCACAAAGACCATTCTGTATCCAAAGGTAGAGGAAACAGGTTCTGCCTCTCAACAAAAGCAAAGAATTTGCCATCTCTTTATTATCCACACTGCTATAGGCTGCTAAATTTTGCCTCGACCATCTTGCTCTTTTAAAATCTTGTAACATCTTATGAAGTAGATGTAGTAATGATTTCCATTTTACCAATAAAGAAATTGAGTCTTTGAGAGACAATAGCATCCATCATAGCCCATAGTTATGCTTTATGCAGGGTTACCCATTGTTGGGGAATAAAGAATTCAAAGTCGATTTCCTTCCATTCATTAAGTGAACAAATAGAATTCTCCCTTCGTATAAGAGGCTTCGGGGCAGACAGAAAAGCAGAATGCAGAGGGAAGCTTGACTCCTAAGGAAAGACCATTTACCTGCTAAACACCGGGCACATAAGTCATCTTTGAACTTCGACAAGAGAGAGGTTTGGGACCCCAGAAAAGATGTTCAGCAGCTCTTGGATAAAGGAACTATGCCTCAGGATGTTTGTGAGCTGTGGCTGGTAACCCTAGAATAGGGCATTGGGTTCTTTTTTTCTTCTTAGAGCAAATGAAAGAGGATATAATTGCCAATTGCCAATTGCTTTTTTTTTTTAGTCCTTTAATCTTAAGGAAAATACGATCAAGTGTCTGGAACCACCTGAACAATCCCACATTCATGAAGTGGTTTACCAGTAGGACTCTTATGTGGGATGGAAAACTGGAAAAAGAAGATGGGATTTCTGGGTCCTCCCTCCCTCCGTCCCTCCTTCCCTCTCTCTCTCCCTCCCTCCCTCCTTCCTCTCCTCTCCCTCTCTCCCTCCCTTCCTCCTTCCTCTCCTCTCCCTCTCTCTCTCTTCTGTATGTGAACTTGTATGGTGGCGGTGGTATGAGCACATGCATATAGACTTGTCTTAGTGTAATGCTTCAGTGTCTACCCTCACCTCCCCCATTGTTTGAGACGGCCCTCTTTGCTGTTGTGTGAGCCAGACTAGCTGGCCAAAAGACTTCTGGAGATTCTTCAGTTTCCTCCTCCCATGTCCTGTTAGGGGAGCACCAGGATTAAAGACACCGTCGCTTACAGCTTTCCTGTGGACTCTGAGGATCTGAACTCAGATCCTTGGTGCTTGCTCGGCAAGTACTTGGCTTAGAGGAACTGGAATTCCCACACTCAGCACTCAGCAACTCTCCAGGACTGCACACTGCAGAGACAGGCTCTCACCGTGTTACTCTTCTTTGACTGAATAGTAGATGCTGTGGTATGGCTGGACCCTGCCCCTGTAAGGCAATGTACCTTCAGAGATTTATCAAGCTCTCATTTTCTGACTGACTGCTTCGTTGGTGGGATCTTGTCTAATCCATAATCTATTGGAAACAATATGAAGCAATGTCCTTGAGTAGGTCTGCTTTTAGTCAACCTGGTTTATGCTTCCATGTTTGACAGGCAATAGATTTTAAAAGAGAAATCCTAGTTTGGTGGAGTGAGTGTGTGTGTGTGTGTGTGTGTGTGTGTGTGTGTGTGCGTGTGTGTGTATTTTCATTTGAAAGACTGAATAATTTTCCAGCTGCTTATCTAACACAGCGCTCTGTACACACAGAATGTTTTATAAACAGCCCTTTTTTGCTTTTTCATTGCCTATGTTCACTTAGATGCTTGTTAAAGGCCAGACCCTGAACTAGCTCTTAAGGAGGCAGTCCTGTACAAAATAGACTCAATTTCTGCTCTCATGAAGATTGTAGTCTAAGGAGAAAGGAGAAACTGAACACTCCCCCGACTACTATGAATAAGTGGTTTTCAAGTAGAAGACATAAGGTAGGAAATGGAAGCATGGATGTACTCACTTAAACAGAGGGTCTCAGGGGTCAACAAAGGGACACTAGAGGAGAAGCTGGCACATAGGAAACAGCTAAGCAAAGAGCTGGGGGTGATGGTATTCTAGGGGTGAGACGGTAGACTCAGGTTAGGGAGGGAGCAGGAAGAAATGGACCTGAACGGTGCAGAATCAGAAAGCCAGGAGCAGGACTTGAGTTTTTGACTTCTCACCGCAATTATTTTTGTTTAAAATCATCGACTTGACTGACAGCAAAGACTTGGTTATTAAGCTAATCAGAGCCTGGGACATTCAATTCAAAAGTCTGTCTTCGTCAAAGCTGCTGGCTTCCCCACTGGGGGATGGCTTGGATGGAGGTGTGTGTGGGTGTTAGACACTATTAAAGCACAAGCTTAATACAAAAATCGGATTCAAATGTGCATATATTGTCTCGATTGTGATTTTAAATGACATCATCCAGTTTGACTTCCCTTCTTTGCATTAATGATTTAATCAGATATCATTGAGTATATCCTCGGAGAAAAAATGCCTGAAAGAGTCAAAGAGATGCATCTTTTCTCTCTCTAGGAGTTTAATGGCTCAGCATATGAGCCAGGTTTGTGAGTCGCCCACAAAACCACAGACTCAGGCAGTGAAATTGACACTGTCTCCCATCTCACCTGGATCAGGTACACAGATCTGTTCTCCAGGGTCACAGAACCCTACAGCCATTTTCTTCTAATTTTGTGGTTTTCATATTGATCATAATGTAATATATATTTTTTCTGGCTATTCTGGAAAAACCAAAGACTTCCCTTGTTTGCATTACTCATTTACAACCGAAAAACATTGGACTCAGGGAAACTACTTCCTGAAGTGAATGTGTGTTACTTTGGAACCTTTCAAAACTTGTGGGCACACAGGTGTATTTTCAGGTCTTTGTGAGATTTCTCCTGTAGCATGGACCCTTAGGCCACCACGTGTGAGGGACTATTCTAAGGCATTGCTAACAAAACTAAGAAAACCAAGGCCCAGGGAGAGTAAGAGGAACATTCCTGCAATATTTGGGACTCCTTTTATTAACTACAGATTGTGGTTTTTGAAGGTTTTTTTTTGCATCATCTATGTTTTTGTAGATATCCATGAACCATACAAGATAGACAATTCATTATGACCTTCATCATGCAAATAAAGAAATGAAGGCTACATCTGTTCAGTAACTTTACTTTTTTTTTAAGAATAGAAGAGTTGGGATGAAAATATTCTTATTTCTAGGCTAGTTCATTCCAACTCCCTGACCCACCAGAATTTTTATAGTAGATGTAATTACTTATTTTAGTATATTGTTTTCCTTTCACTAATTACAGTACACAATAATTACTCATCTGATCATAACCATCAAACCATCATATGATACCTTAATAGTCTTCTTTGCTTAGCTGCACTGGTTTGGAACATCTCTATGAGCAATGATACCAAGAATCAAACCATCCACCAAAATGTGATCTGGATTTTGATTCTAGGGTTGTTTAAGCCAGTCAAATGTATTGTTTAAGGCAGCCAGCCATTCTATGATGTTTTATCATGGCAGCCTATGGCAATAAAAATAGTGATGATGTCTAATATTTATGGAGTCATTTTTATAGGTATTAGTACTATATATCTACATTTTACATACAAGAAAACTGAGGCCCAGTACCTTGCCAGAGGAAATGTAGCTAACGCATGTGTGAAACAGAATGCAGTTTGAACCAGGTTCTCAGAGGCATTTCCCCTTAACCTACATTGCTGGCCATGGAGACAGTCACCGGGAAAGTTACACTAAACCAAGCTCTCACTAACCAGAAATTCAGAACCTTGCCCAGCATCTTGGTCAGGCCAGCATCAAAGGACTTCTTTCTCCATCTTGCTGGCTTGATCTATCCATTAGGAGCATCAGAGCATTGTGAGGTTCAACCTGATGCAGGTGTTGCTGGGAATCCCAGGGCCATTCCTGTTTTTTCACCAATGTAAGCCTTATTCAGACACTCCACCTACACTGTGTATTAGAAGATGCAAAGTGAGAATAATAAGATAACGTTTAGGAACTATAGAAAGGTATTTTCTCACTGGGCAGTGGAGGCGCACATCTTTAATCCCAACACTCAGGACGCAGAGGCAGACTGATCTCTGTGAGTTTGATGTCAGTCTGATCTACAGAGCAAGTTCTAGGCCAGCCAGAAATACACAGAGAAATCCTGTCTCAAGAAAAAAGAAAGAAAGGAAGGAAGGAAGATGCCCTCTAATCATTTTGAATCTCTTTGACCATTAACCAGTTGAATAAAACAAAACAAAAGTGTACTCTCCTAATATGGTGCTTTGGTATAACAATCATTTCTATGCGACAAAGGGCTTGAGCTGTTGACTCTCTAGAGACACATTTTTCTTACTATTTTCTTCTCTGTGATGTGATATGCTATTATGGGACAGTGGGGATGGGGGAGACTCTTACATGCGCAAGCATTTTCCTATTGCTTTTCTAATGTTATTTCAGTTGGGGATTATTTTCCCAGAAAAAGAAATAATTATAAACTATTTGGAATGGTTATACTTTTCCTGGGTGCTAAAGATTTTTCTCTCTAGTTTATTTCACCAGCAATAGGGAATCTAGCAGAGGGAGTCACCATCCCATAATAACTTAGTGGTAGAACTAAGACTAGAACTCTCTACTCCCTCCCCACTTAGAAGTATGAAGATCTAGCAGAAGCCACATACTAAGCTGTTCTGTCTAATCATACTAACTAAGGAGCCCTCTGCTTGGTGGAGTAAAAGTTGACTTGTTACCTAAAGTTCTACAAGTCCTCTGGCTGAGTTCTGCCCCAGACCTTAGAGCAAATTCAGAAGGCACGGACCTTCCACATGTAGTCTTCATCTGGCCAAGTAGCATTTGCCTGAGGGCCCGATTTATAAATCGATTGTACTTACGAGGCCAAGTTTGCTGAAGTTCACGTTGCACTCAGTGTTCTTTTCATTCCATGTGCGTTTCTGAATTTTTTTTATAGCTGTTCTTCTATTCTTTGTCTCTTTTTCTCAGCACGTTGGAAACTGCCAGAAAGATGATCGACTCCACCAACTCTGTCCCCTGTTGAAACTAGTAGTCTCTTGTGATGCCTTTGGTCTTTGCTGCACTCTGTATGAAGTGACAGATGTCAGCTGGGAACGTTAGTGAATGACCCGGACTGTAAGTTTCCTGAAGAAGTGGCTGACATAAATCCAGGCCCATCAGCTAATTATCTTCTAAATTAAATGACAGCTTTTGTCACACACCTAATTTTGGCATCTTCACATTAATGTTGCATTTTCGGAAGAAACATACCAACCAAATGACATCACAGATTATATGTTAACATCAAGTCTAATAGCCACCATGCATTAAATACTAGTTAATTGTTTTTGTATACATTTCTACGTAATATCATCAGGTTAATTCTGCTGAAATACAGAAGGGAGGTTGTACACTTAGCACTATTTATAAATGTGAAGAGAGAGGTTATCTTCAAAGCCACACAAAGAATATAGCATATAGGGATATATATGCTGCATATAGAAATAAATATCCATTTTTATGTATGTATATGGATACATCTATATATATGGACTCACACACACACACACACACACACACACACACACACACACACACGGATATAAAGAAGTTTAGATGTAGAAAGAACATTAAGAAGTCAAAGTCATTATGGCTCCTTGAATGGTGTAGAGCAAACAAGACAGAGACTATGAAGTCAAGAAGGCTTGAGTGGAGGCAGAGTGTGGGGATAATGTCAGGAAAGAAGTCTAAAATGGGGTGGTTGGCAGCAAATGCAGCCCATACCCAGCAATTCTGTTTGTCTATCTGTCACCTGTGGAGTCATCTCTGAAGGTTGTGAACACTGAGCTGGTTAGATATGGGGACATTTAAGCATCCAAAAATGGGATGGAGGGCATGAGAACTACCACACCAAATAAAGCCAACACTTTGTAGTGAGTGACAAAGCAGCAAGTTCTGACTGAGTCCTTGGCTCTTTCTTGAGCTCTCCGGCCACCACCCATTTGGTTGTTCCGTCCCCACTCTCTCCGTTGGCCAGATAGATTGCTGTGCTGCTCTGGCCCCTTCTCAGAAAGCTGTGCCAGCAGACAGATCTGAGCAGCACCACCTGCTTCCACTCTCAAAGCGGATCTTTGGTGGGACATTTGGAGGGACTGGGGGCGGGACCTCCTGGAGAGATCTTAATTAGGAAAGCAACCTGGACACCAAGGGAACCAGGGATATGGAGCTCCTGGGAAGACCGGGACTCCCAACAGAGGGAGCCAGGGGCCTGAGAGAGCCACTCGGTTTGCATTCGTATTAAAACTGGGAAGCAAACATTTTTATCCCGAAGAGAATTCTTAAACTGAAGGAATCAATTTCTAGCGATAAAAAATTAAGTTTCAGACCTCTGGCAAGTTAAAGTAGGGGAGAGAAAAAAGAAACCCAAGCCATTGTATAAATTGTTAAGGTGATTCAAATGCTGCTCGTCGGTCGGACTTAACTGCTATTTATTCCTAGAAGTGCATGCAGATTCTTTCCGGGAGGGGGGTGGGGTGGGAGGGTGGGGGCAGGAAGTCATCCTCTAGAGATTCTGCAGTCCTTGATTTGCAAGCAGGCTGCTTCTCGAAGCAGCGATTCTATACACTTGAGTCTGCAGCAAACCTCTAGGGAATTCATTGCCTTAACTACATTAATAAATCCTTAGGAATTCTTGGGGAAGCCAGTCCCTCACAAATGGTAGAATGTCAGCCACTGGGTGCGGAGTTCTAAGACAGGCTTCCTAATATCCCCTCACCCCCAAACAATAGACTATGAGCAACTTCCTGACCTCATCTGGACTCCCACATTCCTCTTTACTTATATAGCCATTGGGTTTCAATGGGAAAACCAAACAAAACCAGCATGCTTGCTAGACACCCCGACACATGCCAGTTTGGGGTGGGGGAAGGGAGTCTGGGAGAGGAATGTGGGTAGGAGTGGTCAGACTCCACGACAGCTGCTTCCAGGGAGAGCCTGCATTCAAGCCCTCACAGGAAGCAAAGGAGTACAGGGTCCTCAGCCGAAGCCCCAAGTCCCTGTCGTCTCCCAGGGATCTGGCCGGGCCGCCTGACGTTATTAAGCCTGAGGAAGTTGGGTAGTGAACTGAAGGCACTGTCCTCTCCCTCCCTGACCCCAGGTAAATGTGCATATTTAGCTCCAGCCACAACCACAAAGGCCCTGGACAATTTTCCTGGAAGTCAATTAAAACATGGAGAGTCACAGTAGGAGATAAAAATGAACAACACCAGTTGGCTGAGGTTTTTCCGTTCCCGAATGGTTTGTTTACGCATTAAGAGCAAAATAAAATAAAATGAGATAAAATGAACAGTCTTTCCTCATAACTGCTGTAATTAGACTTGTGCCAGCCACACGAGAGGCGGCCGCTCCCATTTCTGAAGGGTTATCGCTGTTGCCCCACTCTTAGCGCTTCAAAAGTTGCTTGTTGTCATTTTCTGATTACCACCGTCCTATTAAACTGCCAGGGGAAACTTATTTTCTCTCTATGCGCATCTCCATTGTCTGTCTATGTCTCTGTCTCCTCTTTCTCCTGCTGCTGTGGAGTTAGCAGGAAGATCAGGACCAAAAGAGATTGAGATTTTTGCGATCAGTTGTGAGTAGGCATTCTCCAAATATCCTGAAGGTGAAAGTCCTCAAAAAAAAAAAAACAAAAAAACAAAAAAACAAAAACCAACACAAACAAACAAAAAACAATCTAGATAATAGTGATCTGTGCTGACCACATCTCTTGGACAAGACTCAGCAAACCTGGATCAAAAGACTTACACACTCTTGTCTGGATCACATGCATTCAAGGCTCAACTGGTCCCCTGTTCCCTTTGGGTTACTTGATACACAGCAATTGGCAGTATCATTGTAGCCTTCTCTGGGATCCGTGCAAGTCCTGTCTGTAGCCTTTCCCTGTTTAATCATGCAGGAATGCTGTTCCAAAGACTTAGGGTCATAAAGGTGCAATAAGTCAATCCAGATACACCCTCAATGAATGGCAAATTAAACAACATTTGTTTCAAGTTCATAGGTCCTCTTGGAAGATGCCATTTTAATTCAAACAGAATTCCTGCCTGGCAGGTATGAAGGGCTAAAAGGGTAGTGTGTGGATGCCTTGTAGTCTGTGGGCCTTTTAAGACAGAGGTGGTGGTGGTGGTGGTGGTGGTGGTGGTTGTCGTCGTCTTCTTTTTCTTCTTCTTCTTCTTCTTCTTCTTCTTCTTCTTCTTCTTCTTCTTCTTCTTCTTCTTCTTCTTCTTCTTCCTCCTCCTCCTCCTCCTCCTCCTCCTCTTCCTCTTCCTCCTCCTCCATTTTTCTCCTCCCTCCTCCTTCTCCCACCTCTTCTTTACCAGAAATAGCCACTGTTAGTTTGCCCAAATAATTAGTGATGAGATCTTTCTGTAGCTCTCCCCTGGCAACAGACATATCTGGTCACTGGTCACTCTGGGGTAACATAGACCCTTGGTTCAGTTTCTCCTTTAGCATATTCAGCTCCTTTTGAGGGGTGGGGGACTGGATAGGTGTTTCTGGGAGCTTGCCATTTGTAAGGTTTAAGCTAAAACAAATCTTCCAGTCACAGACAATTCTGCTATAACCACAGAGACACAACCTGTGGCGTCGAGAAGATTAAACCATCAAGCCCAGCTGCTCCCTTCCCCACCCCTACCCTCCACTCAGGGGCGGGAATAAACTTGTTAGAGCTTCACCAGAAAAGAAGAAAAAATAAAATAGCTTTTAGTCTTCCATGGCTCCTAAGCATTTTGGTAATAAATAATAAAAGGTATTTATTACACGTTACAGTGACATGGTGGAATTCAAATGCTTTTAACCATAACACTTTCTTCCTCAAATGTTGAAAAGAAAAGAGTATTAGAATTTGGGTGGGGGGTAGGACAGCAGGAGCAATGCCTTTAAAACCCGAGGAATGTGGTAAAGAGAGCCTTGTGTGTTTTTTATAGTCGCAGAATGGGGGAAAGCAGGGAGGAAACATGGGCAGGAAGTCAGGGGATTAAGGCTGCAGGGCTGGCGTGCCACTGTCTGGCTGTTACCTTGGGCAGAGCTCTACCTTGGCTTGCTCCCAGCTTCTCATTTATCTCATAAACAGTGAACCACCTTCTGTTTTGTTAGCCATTCCGTCTCCTGGACCACACTCTTGCAATGTGCTCTCTTCTGCTTCCAAGGAGCCAGACTCACTATGGCTAATGGACAAGAGACAGGGAAACAGGCTCTGTATATCTCTTTCCTCAGTGCTACATATAAACCTCAGCTGTATAGTCCTCATGCTGATGCAGCCACCCTTGCCCAAGTGACTGACAGTAGAGGGTTGTGGTTGCGAACACAGGTTCTGCAGTTCAAAGTCCAATGAGGGGGCCTAGCCCTGGGTTAGCTGCAAGCAACTGTGGGCATCTGAGCGAGTTGTTTAATGTCTCTGTGCAATCAATTTCTTTTCTGGAAAATGGGGGCAGCAGGGATTATTCTGAATATAAACTCAGAAAGCTAAAGATCAGGACTACCACAGCTCTTATGTACAAATATTCCACTAATGGTAGATTAAGGGCATTTAACAATAGTGACAAAAATGTTTTCTACAGGGTGTGGTGGTTCATACCTTTAATCCTAGTACATAAGAGGCCAGCTTGGTCTACAGAGCAAGTTCCAGGACAGCCAGGGCTCTACAGTGAGACCTTGTCTCAAAAAAAAAAAATCCTAGTCCTTAATCTCTTAATTCTAGTGACTAAGAGGAGTGATGCTGGAGAGGAAGATGTAGGATTCAGACATCCATTTAGCTGCCGTGGGTGAAGGACACAGAGGTACCACCTTAGTCTCCATGTCTAGATTCAAGACATCCGAAAAGCTGTGGGGCACAGGAGTAAGAGCTACCTTTCATTCATTCAGCGCTAAGCTCTGTTGGAGTGATAGTTTTTGGTTATTTTCTCTCCCCTGGATGAGGGTTTGCAAAGATGAATGACCCCAAACACATCCTCCACCAATTGACAGTCTACCCTGCTCTAAGTGGACAGCAGTGGCAGAAGACAAGAAGTCGGGGGAGGGTCAGCTCAAAGGGCAGGCACCGTGACTGTCCTCATTTTAACTCTGAAAAGTCCTCCACATCAGGAAGCCACTGCTTACCAGGCAAGCTTCATGGTCCCTCATGTTAGTGTTGGGACGATCCAGGGAAGCACTCAACCTTGTCTCACCAAACC